CCACCATCCCTGAGATCACCACCACCACACCTGAGACCACTGCCACCATCCCTGAGATCACCACCACCACCCCTGAGGTCACCACCACCATCCCTGAGACCACTGCCACCATCCCTGAGGTCACCACCACCATCCCAGAGACAACCACAAACCCTGACACCACCACGACATTCCTTGGGACCACCATCCCTGAGATCACCACCAGCATCCCTGAGGTCACCACCACCATCCCTGAAACCAACTCCACTGCCCCTGAGACCACGTTCACCACACCTGTGACCACCACCACACCTGAGACCACCAGCACCCCTGGGACCAACCCCACCACACCTGTGGCCACCACCATGCCTGTGACCAACACCACCACCCTTGAGACCAGCACCACCACCCCTGCGACCAGCACCACCATACCTGAGACCAATCCCACCACACTTGGGTTCACCACCACCACGACACCTGTGTCCACTGCCACCCCTTGGACAACCACCACCACCTCTGGGACCACCACCACCACCTCTAGGACCACCACCATCACCCCTGAGACCAACACTACCACAGCTGTCACCAACATCACCATCCCTGGGACCACCACCACCACCACCACCCCTGTGACCATCATCAGCATTCCTGAGACCAACACCACCACACCTGTGTCCATGGCCACCCCTGGGACCAATTCCACCACCACCCCTAGGACAACCACCACCACATCTGGGACCACCACCACCACCCCTAGGACAACCACCACCACACCTGGGACCACCACTACACCTGGGACCACCACCACCACACCTGGGACCACCACTATCACCCCTAGGACCACCACCACCCCTAGGACAACCACCACCACACCTGGGACCACCACCACCACCCCTAGGACAACCACCACCACCCCTAGGACAACCACCACCACACCTGGGACCACCACCACCACCCGTATGACCACCACCTCCAACAGCACAACCACCACCACCACCACTCCCACACCTACGACCACCAGTACCACCCGTGGAACCACCACCATCACCACCACCACCATCACCACCACCACCACTCCAGGTACTTCCCACTCCTCCTTCCTCCCTGCCCCGTCTCCATGTCCCTCCCGGTTCCTTTTCCATCTCCTCTGCTTCCAGGGATCTGCAGCAACGGTGGCACCTGGGTCAACGGCCACTGCCAGTGTCCCCTGGGCTTCACCGGGGACAGGTGTGATGACATCAGCAGCACCATCGAAACCAAGGCCGGTAGGAATTCCGTCTTTTTTTTGGGATCTATCCAACGCTGGGATAAGAGCTGATGGAGTGAAGAAGATCTGGAGATGTTCTCCAGGTGTGGCCATATCCCAAAGAACCTCCTCCGTCGGGGTGTCAGAGTCTCTCAGGACCTAAAACTTGGGGAAGAGGTGGTGGTTCCCCACCAGGTCCTGCCCACTGAGGGTGAGGGAGGTGCAGGGTCTACCTGAGATTCCCACCTGGAAATTTTGGGACGTGGGGGATGACCCCGCTCCAAACCATCAGCAGGACCAGGATCCACCTGGGAGGACCAGGTGGGAACTTTGGGAGATGGGGCATGGCCCAGTCCTTGCTGGGATCACCCAGCGGGGCCACTGATGGTGTCTTCTGATGGGTGGAAGATGTTTCTCCTGGTTCCTTCACAACAACCCCAAATTTACGGGATCTGGGGGGAGATTTATGGGTCCCACCTGCCTGGGAAGGTCTCTCTGCCCCACCTCCTTCATGGCCTGGTTTTGGACATTCCCAGAGACCAACGGGACGGTGCAGCTGATGCTGCGCGTCACCAACCGGGACTTCACCGAGGACCTCAAGAACTCCAGCTCACCTGCCTACATTGAGTTCATCCAGGAATTCACCAAGCAGGTAAAGGGACACGAGACCCCACCTGGGACTGGGATCTCCCTGGTGGAGCAGCCGGATGCGTCCCAAGTTCTCCAAGAACTTCAAGTTCTTGCGTGGTGTTCTCCGGGATGGATTTGGGGAGGGAACACCCAAAATGAGGGAGATCCAGGAGGATGAGAAGAAGAACCCAACCATCCCACCTGGAGACACCTTCTCTTCCAGATGGACGTGGTCTATGCCAGCATCGAGGGGTACAAGGGCATCAGGGTGAACCATCTCAGGTGAGCGTCGGGGTCACCAGGATGGGGATTTTGGGGTCATTCCATGGGAAAAGGGCGTTTGGACCCATGGGACAGTGACGTTTCTGTCCAGTTCTGGCAGCGTTGTGGTGGATCACAGCATCATCGTGTCCCTGCTGGTGACCTCCCAGAGCCAGGAGAAACTCCAGAACATCACGGCCAAAGTGCAGGAGAAGATCAAGGTGGCGGCAACGCAATTCAACTGCACCAACGGTACCTTGTCACCTTCCCACCACGGGGCTGGGGACAACCAGGGCCATCCGTGGTGTGGTGGACACCTTCCCACCCACCCACCCAAACCACCCTGGACACCCCAGAGTGGAACTGTCCCTCCCACCGGTTTGACCTCTCTTACAGGTGACCTGTGCTTCAAGTCCTCCGAGGTGAACATCACCAGCACCATGCTGGATTTCGATGGAGATGGTGAGTGGGTGGGGGGGATCCACGTGGGTCTGGGGTCTCCAGAGTTCCTCCAGGTGACCTCTGTCCCCTCTCCAGCCTACTGCTGGAGCCAAGCACCCGAGGGCTACCGGGAATTCTTCTTCCCCAACCTGACGATCTCCGGGTTGTCCTGCATGTCCAACTGCACGCCGGACACCACCAGCACCATCGACTGCAACCGTGGGACGTGCCACATCACCCGCAGAGGTCCTCAGTGCTTGTAAGGGCTGAAGGAAGTTCATCCTCTTCCTCCAAAGTTGTCCCACAAGGATCCAAACCTTTGGGTGGATCTCCATGGTGACGTCCAAGCTGTTTCCTGCATGGAAATGAGTCAAGAATCATCAGGGGTGGAGCAGGGTCTTGGTCCACATGGTGGATCTCCATGGTGACGTCCAAGTTGTTTCCTGCATGGAAATGGGTCAAGAATCATCGGGGTGGAGCAGGGTCTTGGTCCACATGGTGGATCTCCATGGTGACATCCAAGCTGTTTCCTGCATGGAAATGGGTCAAGAATCATCAGGCCCAGAGCAGATTCTTGGTCCGCATGGATCCAACCTTCTGGTGGATCTTCAGAATCCTTTCCAAGCTCCTTTGTGCATGGAAATGGGTCAAGAATCTTCAGAGCTGGACAGGGTTTTGGTCCAAAATGGATCCAAACCTTCTGGTGTAACTCCAGGCCCACCTCTGAGGTTTTCTCTGCAGACCAAGAGGTCAAAAGTCATTGAGGTTGGTGTAGGCTCTTCCTCTACATGGATCCAAACCTTCTGATGGATCTCCATGACCATCTCCAGGGTTAAAGCCCCGAGGTGGAGCAGAGTCTTGCTTCAAGCAGGGCTTGAGGCTGCAGAAATGAGGTTGGGGTGGGATGTGTTTCTTCTGGGGGTCCCAGCTTTGGGTTGACCACCTTGTCCCACCCCCCCAGCTGCGACGAGACCCACCTGTACTGGTACCAAGATGACCGCTGCACATCACGGGTCAGCAAACTGGCCATGGGCCTGGGCTTGGCCGTGGCCATCCTGGTCACCGTGGTCATCCTCCTCTCCATCTTCCTCTTCCGAGCTCGGAGATCTGGGTCCCTTAACACGTGAGCGGGGACAGTTTTGGGGAGGTCACCCTGGGGTGGGACCACTCGTTGGGTTGTTGGTTTCCAAGATGCTCCTCATCCTCCATGAGGTCCTGAGGGTTGTGGGGGGAACCTTGGTCCTTTTTGGGGGTGTGGAGGAGCTGGGGAGGTCCAGGCAGGGATGGACCTGCTGATGGTGACCTCCCGCACCCCCTGACCCATTCCCAGGGCTGAGCAGAAGATGATGAAGAATTGGTACCAGAACATCAGCGAGGAGTGGAGCCCCCAAGGAAACTTCACCTTCCGGAACCAAGGTGGGCGTGGAGTGGGTGGGGGGTCTCTGGTGACCCCACAGGGGTGGTGGAGTTGGTTTGTGCCCACCATCCCCACCCCAAGCGCCACCATTGAACCCTCCTGTCCCACAGGTGCCCAGCTCAAGGATGACCATCCAGTCCACCTTGAGGCCGTGGACACGTCGGTGCCGGTGAGTTCCCCCCGTCCTCCTGCCATGGTGGGACCAGGGCAGTGGGGACACCCCAGATGTTCCTGACACTCCATTTTCCCCCGGATCTTCTCTGGTGGCACGTTCCAACAGATCCAAATCCCACGGCCGCAGAAGTTCATCACGCAGCTCTGAGACATGGTGGGGTGGTGATTTCCAACACCAGAACCTCACCATCATCATCGTCGTCATCGACATAGACATCAACATCATCATCATCAACATGAACAATGTCAAAATCTTCATCATCATCACCACCATCATCCCCATCATCCCCCTCACCAACCCCATGGAAGGAGGTCCCCCCCAGCACTGCAGGACAAACTGGACCTTCTCCTGGGGGTCACCTTGACCCCCTGCCCTCATCTTCAACTTCTTCCCCTATCCCTCATCCTCTTCCTGTGAGAACTTTTAGGTGATGACCCCACTTTTTGGACGTGGGGACCTCATCTCCAGCAGCACTTTTGGGTCCTGACCCCGCCTGAAAGGTCATGTTCCCACCTGAAAGGTCATGTTCCCACCTCCAAGGTCATGTTCCCACCTCCAAGGTCATGTCCCCACCTGAAAGGTCATGTTCCCACCTCCAAGGTCATGTCCCCACCTCCAAGGCCATGTCCCCACCTGAAAGGCCATATCCCCATCTCCAAGGCCATGTCCCCATCTCCAAGGTCATATCCCCATCTCCAAGGCCATGTCCCCATCTCCAAGGCCATGTCCCCAACCTGAAAGGTCATGTCCCCACCTCCAAGGCCATGTCCCCACCTCCAAGGTCATGTCCCCACCTCCAAGGCCATGTCCCCACCTCCAAGGCCATGTCCCCACCTCCAAGGTCATGTCCCCACCTCTAAGGTCATGTCCCCACCTCTAAGGTCATGTCCCCACCTCCCTCCCTCCCCAAATTCAAGGGTGAGGACCCCCCCCCACACCCAAAAAAGGGGGCTGGACCCTCTCCTTCTCAATGAAGTCCCTCAAACATCTCTGGTGTTACTGGTTTGTACTGGGACAACCCCAGTGACGGCTTGGGGAGGGGACAAACATCTCCAAGCACCCTTCTGGAGATATTTTTGGGGGTGGCACCCCCACACCCCCCTGGGACCCCCCCATACTCCAACCGGGGACACTCCCACCACATTCCGGCACCTGCCAGGTGTGTTTGGGGCCACACCTGGCCGCACCTCCAGGCACTGGGACTTTGTCCCCGTTCCCGGCCGCGGGTGCCAAGAAAGGCAAAAAAATGTTGATTTTAGCCAGGGAAGGGTGGGGCGGGAACTGGCTGAGGGCCAAGTGCCAATGTGTCCTCCTGCCCCGTCCATGGCGTGGGAGAAGGTGGTGGAGGTGGTTGTGGGGGTGGTGGGGTCATGGGGGTCATGATGGTGATGGGTCTGGAGTGGGCGTGGGCGTTGTGGGGGTGGTGGGGTCACGGTGGTCATGGTGGTGATGGGTCTGGAGTGGGCGTGGGCGTTGTGNAGTGGGCGTGGGCGTTGTGGGGGTGGTGGGGTCACGGTGGTCATGGTGGTGATGGGTCTGGAGTGGGCGTGGGCGTTGTGGGGGTGGTGGGGTCATGGTGGTCATGGGGTTCATGGGGGTCATGGTGGTGGGAGAGGTTCTGATGGTCAAAGTGGTGAGGGTGGTGGTCATAGTGGTGGTGGGGAGCATGGTTGTGGTGGTCCATTGTCCACCTTAGGACCCCCTCAATGTCCCCCACAACCAAGAGTGGTAGCATGTTGGGACTTCCTCAATGTCCCCTCTACTCATGGGTGGTATCACCTTGAGACCCCTTCAGTGTCCCCCCCACAACCAAGGGTGGTGCCACCATGGGACCTCCTCAAAGTCCTCAACAACAAAGGGTGGTGCCACCTTGAGACCCCCTCAATGTCCCCAACAACCAAGGGTGGTGCCACCTTGAGACCCCCTCAATATCCCCCCAACAATCAAGGGTGGTGCCACCTTGAGACCCCCTCAATATCCCCCCAACAACCAAGGGTGGTGCCACCATGGGACCTCCTCAAAGTCCTCTGCTCCTTGAGCCACCACAGCTGCCCCACCCTCCTTCTCCGAGCCCTTTGTCCCCGTGGGAAGGAGGTGTGGAGGAACCTCCAGGGTGACATTTCATTCCAGAACTGGTGACAAGGACGCTTTCTCCCACACACGTCACCAGCTGAGGTCGGGGTGGTTCCAAACCCGATCATTCCAAATTCCAAAGGTCAAGAATGACCTCACTCCCAACAAATTCTTTTCCCGATTTAGAAATTTCCTTTTGGACTTGGGTCTTGTCCCCAGCCCAGGCCCAATCCTGGCGTGGAGCCACCTCGTGTCCCCAAGAAGAATTGGACAGGTGACAATGAAGATAAGGATTTGTTTAATTATAAATAATTCTGTGTGCAAACATCTGCGTGGCGAGGAAGAGGATGGTGGATCTCCCGATTCTCATTGCCCTCGTGTCCATGTGTCCCCTCCTCCACATCCTCGTGTCCCCGTGTCCTGTCTCTGCTGGTTCTCATGTGGCTTCACTCAGGGGACTATGGTCGGTCTCTGGATGTGGATCTGGGGAGGAAGGAGAGAGGAGGATGATGATGGTGGTGTGGGGAAAAATGAGGACAACATCAGGCTCCTGGGGATGTGCCACCCACCGTCCTCGAGGTGTCCACGTTCTCCAGGTTGATGTAGCTGGCGCTGGGGGTCTCCATGTCTGTGGGGTGGAAGAAGAGGTGCCATGGACCCCTGGGTGCCACAGCGACCCCCAGCCCATCCCCACGCCCACCCCCACCTCCGTGCCCGGTACCTTCCCAGGTGGCCGCCAGGTTGCTCATGGCAAAGCCTTGAGATCCGTCCCAGTTCCCGTCATCGCTGGTGTACATCTCCGAGCGGGACTTCAGCTTCTTCCTGCGTGGTGGGACCCGCAGGGATGAGACTCGGGACCCCCACGGGACCACCCAGCTCACCCCAAGGTG